TTAGGGTCCTACTTTGATAAAGCCAATTGTTTTCAATTAACGTCCTCATTTCGATTTATGGTTTAAAGATTGACTAATATTAGGCTGTGCTTTATTTTATATCCTGAGAACATCCCCTTATCCTCAAATTTATTTTTAATTAGGTGAAGTAGAAGCTCTGCTACCTGTGGTTGCCATGCTCCTCCAGTTTAGCCCAGAAGAGGTTGTATATGCACTCTCTGCTCCTCTATCCTGTGAATTCGTAGTAGATATTGTGTTCTACTGTCTTAATTGTAGCCAAACATATAGAGCAGTCCAAAGAACCCATGGAAAGAAGGAAAACCATTGTTAGGCCTTATAAGGATCAACTAAATAATAGGGAATAGAACTATGTTTGCAAATTATCAACATGCTCGGTTCGGTTTATTAGTCTTGTAGTGTCCACCAAGTGAGCATAAGCCAACCATAATTGACACGTACACCTTTCGGGGTGGAGGTTCAAATTCTCATCCCCACTTGTTATACTAAAAAAAACGCTCAACTATGGTGTGAATAATTTTGGGTTGATTTGCTTATGCAGATGCAAAAATGTCAACAAGCGTATCGCAGCTCGACCGATGGTCCTCCAAGCCCTGCTGGTGATTCGTCAGGATCTGCGCGTTCTCTTTTCTCAAGATTTTCGTTTGCATGACAGATGAGAGGAAGCCTCCAGTAAATTTCTCAGCATTATATTAAAAACGTCTGCCACTACGCTTGAATTTCTCAGCAAATGTTCTTTCCAACGACCGGTAGACAAGAAGAGTTGCACAAATGTAAGAATTTCTGTACTGTTTCTTTCCCGTAAGAAACAACTATATTCTTACATGCCAAAATCAGAGTCTATAGAGAAGTGTTAGCATATAGGCAAATGTTGTTTAATTTATATACAATGCATTGATATATATATAATTTTTTGGTTATAGTTTGGTGCTGCATTTGAACCTTTGAGGGATATTGTTTTCGTTTTCTTTATTTTGGAAATAAGAAAAAGAATTGTTTTTCAGGTAAACATGTTGCAGAAGTTATAAATGAAATGGTTGGTATCTTCGTGGTTAGGATTCAAACACAGGACCAAAACTCCGTGGGAGTCTCTCGAATGAAAATTTTTATGAACTTAGAGAGGGAGAAGTCGAGAGAATTTCTTATTATTTAGCGAGGAGATGAGCGAGATGATCAAATTTTCTTTTGTATATGTATTCAGCTCAAACATTTTAAAGTACATACTTTAATTTGGCTCCTTCATTGGTGTTATTATTCTATTTTAGGTTTTAATTTGCAAACATCATATTGAAATTTATATTTCTAAAGTTCTAAGAATATTTTTTTTGTAAAATGTCGATAATTTTCAAATTTTTTTGATAACTTAAAAAAAAAAAACATATTTCAAGCGTTTTTAACAATCTTTGATAAAAAGTTGAAGATGAGCATGTGTAAAACATTTGATAATAGATATGTAATATGTTCACTCGTATCCTATGAGACAATAGAAAGTTATATATGCTAATTACGTTATTCATGTCCACATATAATGAGTACAGACACGTTACATACACCGAGATACTTCTCCATTATGATGAGTGCGAACGTGTATTAATATCTATGTTTCGCCATGATATTGTACGACTCATTTCCTTCTATGGTTCTAGTAGTGTGATCATGCACTAGCTGAAGGATAGACTTAGAGTGTACATAAAAACTCGTATGGTGGATCCTTGTGGGCGAGAATACAAAATAACAGTAAAACCTCTTACATGTAACACTATTCAACTAGCCAACGTGTAAAACGTTTTATCTTTAATTCTCAATAAATTAAAGATAAAAATGAACACATAAATATATAATAAAAAAGACACTTTCCTAAAGTCAAAATTCTTATTTAAAGGATATAAAGAGTATGCAAGTAAGGGTTAGTGGGTATAAATACAATACCCATTTGGCCAAACAAACTCACCAAAGAGTAAGCTAGCATTTTCTTATCACCTACCAAAGAAGCAATAAGATGTTGTGTCCTCCTTCTGGTATGTTGTTCCTATGGAGTTATTTCCAAATGCTATGAACGAGCGGTTTGGAAACTTTGAAGTTGTCGTATAACTAAAGTTATATGATATTTTTGTCTAACCAATGATTTTAGATCTTTCTGAATGCTCGAGTCATCTATGAATATAAATATATTGATTTTCTTCTAGACAAATATCAAGTATTTGTATTGTAATAGCTCAAGCTCACCGTTAGAAGATATTATTCACTTTGGCCCATTGCGTATCGTCATCAATCTCACGGTTTTAAAACGCATCCGTTAAAGGAATGTTTCATTTCTCTTCCATAGGACGGATTCTCCCTGCAAGATTACCATTGACTACCCGCATGATCAATTCCCTACCACAGGATGAATCCATTGTGTAGGGAGGATTTGTCCTATGGGAGAGCGTTTATCATTCGGGTAGTCAGTAGAGCGTTGATCATGTGGTTGGAGAGGGGAATAAAGCATTTTTTATAAGGCTGTGTAAGCCTCCCCTAGTGATGTGTTTTAAAACAGTGAGGCTAACGAGAATAAACCAAAGCAGACAATATCTGCTAGTGGTAAGCTTGAGTTGTAACAAATGGTATCAGAGTCAAGCATCGAGTGGTGTGCCAGCGAGAACGTTAACCTCCCAAAAGGGATGGATTGTGAGATCCCACATCGGTTGGAGAAAGAAACGAAGCATTTTGTATAAGAGTGTGGAAACAAATGTTAATGTGTAAATAAATAGTTCTCGTAGAAGAAATGAAGACATATCCTCTGACTAAGAAGCAAATATCATCGTAAAAATCGAATTTGAAGTGATATTTACTAAAATACATGTACATACAACGATAAACGTTAATGTGTTAGCAGATAGCTTATGATAGTTGTATGTACATGTATTCTCGTAAAGGTCTTATTTGTTTTAACGATAAAAAGAAAAAGAATGCCTTTGTCCTTGCCTGAAAAAGAATGTTTGAACCATGCTTCAACCCAACTTAAACGAGTTGAATCGCTGCTAAGTCCGTCCTAAACTAATTTGAAATAGGGTTAAATCAACCCAAAAGGCGTTGAACAATTCTGAACAAGTTGAGTTGCTGCGAATTTGTGAATTGAATATAAATATGTTGAACGGGTTGAACCAACCACTAGACTGAGTGAAACTCGCTAAACTAGCCGGTCAATTCCTAAATCAATTGAAACTCGTAGAATTGAATTTTGACACAACTACCCATTAAATTTTGACATGATCGTACCACCTTATTCAAACCATAGCTCAATAACTTTAAATTAGTTTGCTACCCCGACACTATAGTCATCCTTAAACCTAGCTTAATCCTTTCAATTCATGTCAAGGTGAGGAGGTTTCTACATTTTAACCATTCTTAAAGCCCAACCTTTATTGAATGCGCTCGTAGCGTTAAAGAATATCGCGACCCGACTTTTACGTGACTCAAGTCACTACTATCTTTAAAAGCGTAAAAGACCGAGTAAAAAGGATGGTAAAAATTTTCGCATCTAAAATATAATATAAATACATTTTATTTACAAATCCAAGTTAAAGTTTGAATATTTTTGGCCCGATAAATAAAATATCTTTAAAATTTTTAAATAGTTGAAAACGGGGTGACTTTGTATGATACTTGCTCCAAGCATCCATCCTTGACCTACAAAGACTGAGCAAGTAGGCTCTTAGTCTTGTTTTTAAGGTGTGCTAGACAACCACACTCGATCTTGTCTTATTCTTAGTCTTAATGGACTTGCCATCTGTAGTGCAACTTTAGGGCATGGTTGTAAACATACTTGACTTGAGTCATGTGTCTTACGGTAACATCTTGATTACTTAGAAAATCAAGGGTATCTTAATCATATCATGAGGTAGCATCCAGGTTACTTGAAAACCAAGTGCTAACCATGGGCTCATCTTGGGTCAGGGCAGTCTCCCGGTTGCTTGAAAAATAAGAGTTATCCTAAAACTTATTATGAGGTAGCACCCCGATTACTTTAAAACTAAGTGCTAACCATGAGCTCATTTTGAGTTAGGATAACCTCCTAGTTGCTTGAAACTAAGGACTATCCTACAACTTGTCGTGATGTAGCATCCTGGCTACTTGAAAATCAAGTGACTGCTAACCAATCAATCTCTGACCGTAGCTTTGTTAAGAAATCAAAAGAAAAAGAAGTCCACCTCTAAAGTTGAAAAACACAGAATAGACAAGGAAAAAACAGTTGATGCATGTGGGAGCTAGAGGTAGACAAAACAGTCGAGCTAGTCCATTAATCGGATCATCTAAACAAGTTCTTAGTGGTTCGATTGGACGTGTTTGATGTTTTTGGCTTATCTTAAACTTCCTTTGTTCGATTTTCAATCTATTTTTGATGGTGTTGGGCTTTTATTTTATTGGACCTATCGAGGAGATTCCAACAATTTTAGACTCTTAAGGAAAATCCATTTTAAGCGATGTTTTAGGTTGCTTTGATTGAATTTGGCCTTGAAAAGCATAAACGGTGGCTAAAATTTGAATGTGTGTCTATCGTCTACGAGTTATCCGTTTTACGTGATATTGTTTAGAGATATATATATATATACTCTAATAAAAGTTAGACATTATTTTTCAAAATTAAAAGTAAATAGGTTTAAAATATTGTTTATAATCTTCAAAAGTGTTTGGATAATGTTGGAAAAAGTAGACATTATTCCAATGTTTTTTTACGATATACAGATAAGGTTATAAACAAAAATATTTTGTTCTCTTTTACCTTTAGTAAATTCCTATGGGATGTAAAATTTAATATTTTAAAATTGGTAGGGAATATAATAAAAAACAATATTATACCATTTATTTTAATAAAATGAAATAAAATATTATAGTTAAACATTAATGAATTATAATAATAATAAAAATAAGAAAGACGACTTTGCTACACGATAATACTACCAATAGAACTTCATAGAAAACTACAACAAAAGCCCTATGGGTGTCGACTATAAATACGACACTCATTTGGCCAAATAAATCAACAAAAGAGTACGCTAAGCATTTCCATATAACGAACCAAAATGTCTAGTACGTTCTTCTTATCATTTACTCTTAAAATTGTTTTGAAATGCTACAATGGAGCGGTTTGTAAGTCTTGGTATGGAATTATGTGCATTTTATTGGGAGTGATCTGTATTAACAAATTTAACACGAATGTGTTTTGAATAGGGAAAAGTGAATGGCTTGAGCTTGTGTTCGTAGAATATTATGAAGTTGCAGATATAATACAAAAGGAGAATCCTAACGTCAAACCACAAAAGATTCTTGCTGGGAGTCCGATGATTTTGAATTACGATCCTTCACGAGTTTGGGTTATTGTCAATATTAAGGATGTTTGTATTAACACGACTCTCCACAATGGTATGATATTGTCCACTTTGAGCATAAGCTCTCATGGCTTTGCTTTGGGCTTCCCAAAAGGCCTCACTTCAATGAAGAGTGTATTCTTAGATTATAAACCCATGACCATTCCCTAAATTAACCGATGTGGGACTTTCATCATCCAACAACGATCATACTATTTATGCTTCGTCAAATTTAATTTATTATATACTAATATTTTCATCTTATTTAGATTGGTAATATACCATAAAGAAAGTTACGTTACATTATTAGAAAATATAACAGTTAAAGTCTATCGCTAGTAGATATTTTCCGCTCTAGCTCGTTGGAAAGACTCAAGATGAATGAGACTGAACTGTAAGTCAAGACTCAAGATTAATTCGAGTTTACAGTGAAATCAGGGAGAGTCAAGACTGAACTCAAGATTAATGAGAATAAACTCCTGACCCTGAGCCTTCAAACACGACACGAACTGTAAACTCCTTCCTGCCTACCTGGACTATGACTTCTACTTCTGAACCTGATGGAACTCCTTCTTCCGATATTCCCGTTATTGTGAGTTATTCTTTCACTCACTGTAAACACTATTCATTCGAGCATATTCATGGACTCTCCCTGAACTGTCAAAGATCAATACTCCTTATGACTGAGACAGATTGAACTCGGTAAACTCCTTTTCCTTCAGTTCTTGTTCTTTCCCTTCAAAGACAAGGTAAAGCCGCTGCCGCTAATTCATGGACTCTCTATTCTTTCACAAGGTAATTAGGAAGGAAAGACTCAACGAAAGATGCATTCTCCTTTACCTATTTATTCCACCTCGTAAACAAGTCAAGACGAAACACGGACTCCTCCCCCTATTTTTGAGGCCATTTCACAAGGGAAAGCCGAAACTCAAGATGAATTCTTTAACTGATCTTTCTCCTCACTTACTCCTTCACCTTTTCCTGATTGAACGAGGGAGGTAAATAGGCTTGCTTCGCCCCTTGTTCCGTTATTGTGAGTTATTATCAGTTCTAGTTCGTTATTCTTTCACAAGGTAAATAGGTGAAGTAGCTCTTTGCTTTCCTTTGATTCTGCTTTCAAGACTCCACCTACTTATTAATGAGAGTGAACTCCGGTCCGGAACCTATTGATTATTTCAGGAGGTAAAGATGCTAATTCATTTACTTACTCTACCTTCACTGTAAAAGAGAGAGTCAGTCAGTCAGAATGTATTTGTTTGTCTCGAGCTTCTTTCACTCGGTAAACTGGAGGATGATTCAAACACTCTTTTACTCGACAGTAAGAAAAGAAGAAGAAAGAAGAATGAGACTGAACTACTGATTGAACGAGGTTTGTTCTCTTAGCTTTCCTTTGATTCTGCTTGAAAGACGAAACGAAGGATTCCTGAGAGTGAACTGTCAGGAAAGACTCAACATTCTTGATCTTCTCCTTCTTTCACTCTTTCACTCCTTTTCTTTTCCGATATTACCTTCGCTACTTCACCGGAACCGATATGCCCTGAGCTACTGGCTACTTCACCTATTTATTCTCGAACTGTAAACAAAGACTCCTTATTCATTCTCGTTCACTGTCAGACTCAACCTCAAGCTCCTACTGATTTCACTCATTCTCCTTCCCTTCGCTACTTCACCTTCAAACACAGTAAACAAGGAAACATTATTCAAAGAAGAATCTGTCATCATCCATTTATTCTTCTTCTTGAGATATTAATTCTTTCTCCTGCCTGAACCTGAACCTATCTATTGATTCTTGAACTGTAAACTAAGACTCAACGAAAGCAAGACAAGATTCTCCTTTTCCTATTTCTTCTTGAACAGTAAACTCGAGAAACTGGCGGATCAACTCCTTCACCTTCACCTATTGATTCAAACACGAGGTAAATAGGTTCAGTAGCTCTTTCTTTTTCTTGAACTCGGTCTCTTTTCTTCTCTTTGCTTTTCTTTCCTGTAAGGGTTCTGGAGCAAGCCTGCTTCGGTAGTGATAGTAGCTTCAAAGGAATTGAATTGTTTGTTAGTATGTCTTGAATAGGGAAAGCATTCAAAATCTATGAACTCAACCCATGTCATGTGAAAGAGCTTGAACAATGAAAGGCTTGACTGACGAGTTCGATCTGGTTTTCTTTTCGCTTATAAATAGGGAGTGTTTGAATTTCCTTTGTTTGTTGACCGCAGTGCCGATATTTTGCTTCTTTTGTTTTGGCTTTTAATTTGCCTCAAAGTTCCAGAGTTGGTCCGATCCCCCTTTCCATTCTTTCACTGACAAAACCTTGAAATTTGACTTAACGAGAAACGACTTCGACTTGACTTTAGAACAATCAATCGAACGGGTAAGGCTAAGATAAGGGCCTGTTCATAATCCCTATTCAAATTGCTTGCTTGACTGATTAAGAGAGTTTGGACGGGAGAAGAGGCTTTGATGACGAAACGAAGGTACAAAGTGTATTTCTCATGGCCCTCCCAATAAATCATTTTTTTGCTATAGGAGCATAAACACTAACCATTTTTTTAGAATACCAGCAGGCGCCGGTAAAACAGGTTTGATTCATTTTCCACGTGGGGAAGCATAAAAGGAAAGCGGTCCCTTACCTTCCCTGATTTAAGGCTTTAAGGCGGTGATAGGCTAAGAGAAAGAGATTCCTCTTGCTTGGTGGAGGACTACCTCGGGAATGAATGGACATGACCTTTCGTATACTAGGATTGAAGAGCCAGGGGGAAAGCCTTCACAGACCAAGGTTAGCTAATCATTCCATTGATAAGGCGTGCGGTGATTGATATAGGGTCAGTCAGTGTGCCGGTTCTCCAGATCATAGAGGGGGTCTTCCCATTAGTCAGGGATATACTTGGTTGGTATCCAGATTCACCCGGGGAGGAATTTCTTGGATGTCGAGTCAGTTCGAAAGCCAGTCCCCACAGGAGCATAAACAAAGCGAGCAGGGCCAGTAGTAGATCCAGGATCAGTACCCTTCTCAGTTCTATACCCAGCAGGAGCAGCAGAAACGAAGGTTGAAGCATCACTAGAGACATAGGTGGGAACATATATATTATGATCCACCAGTAGCATCTAAGTAAGGTGCATACCTTCCTGCAGCCGCTTCAGTCCTTTCTGTTGATGGAGCAGTTAATTAAGCACTTGAAGTTGACCGATAGTGATGCTGGTAGATCTGCTACCTACGCCTTTGCTTGCCTTTCCGCTGATGCCTATAGCTTTCCCCCTTTGCCGGGTGGTATCGCTCTCTAAATGCTGGGTCTACTGTTGCTGAAACTACTTGTTCAGGGTAAACCATAGGAACTACTGCATCTGTCTCTGCCACTGATGGATCATATGCAGCTCTAGCCTCTGCTAGCTCTAAGTAATCTGTTTTCTCTCTATTTTCAGGTCTGCAAGAGAGCTGATGTTGGTATTCGAGCTAAAGCTCCTAGAATCACTCTCGATAAAAGGCACTCGAGCAACTAGCTTCTGTTATTTCAAACAGCTAAGACTGGTATTTACCCTTATGGCATTTAACTGACATTCTACCATTGAAAGAGCGGATACTTGCATTCGAACTGATACAAAGATTGAAGAATTCCTGGTACTAGCAGTTCTTTCCTTTTTAAGAGAGAATGTTAAAGGCAAGTAAAGCACTAAGACAAAGCAGCAATAAGACAAGTTTAAGACAACCGGCGGTAATGGCACCTTAGAAAAGAAGGGGGTATACCCTTCAACACAAAGCTTATGGAGATTGAACTGGCTTTGTTAGTGAGAGCTAGCTTTAAGGCTAACTAGCGAGTAGTTGCATAAAGTAGTCAGTCACTAGGTTCAGCAGTATATTCTTTTGATCCAAACCCCGGGACTTCCATC